CGCCCCAAGAAGCCCCAAGAGGCCTCCAAGAGGCACCCCCGAGAGGCCGCCAAGCGGCCTCAGAGAGCCCAGTATGACCTCCAAGATGGCTTTAGACAGCCGAAGATGCTTTAAGACAGCTTCCGACATGCCCCCAAAAGGCCCCACGAGGGCCACAAGACGGCTCCAGGTGCCCTCAAAGACCCCTCAGGACCTTCCCGAAAAGCCGGAATTCTTCAAAAACCTTTGGAAAATCAGCGATTTGTGCCTTCTCGCCTTTCCGTTTCCCATGCGCTTCTGAGGACTCAAGATGGCACAAGATGGCCCAAGAGGCCCCCAAGACGGCCCCAAGAGCGCCCAAGAGCGCCCCCAGAGGGCTCCAAGAGCGCCCCAAGAGACAGTTCTGAGGGCCCCAGAAGGGGGACGGAGTTAAAGAAACCCCCTCTTTTGATCGATAGCCTCCAAGATGGCCCCAAGAGGGCCTCCAGGGTTCCCACGAGAGCCCCAAGAGGGCCCCAAGAGAGCTCCAAGAGGGCCCCGAGAGGGCCCCGAGACGGCCCCAAGAGCGCCCAAGAGCGCTCCAAGAGTTAAAGAGCTCCACGAAGCGGTTTGCGGGCTCCTGAAGGGGGGAGCTGAATTGGGGACCCCCCCATCCTTTAATCGATGGCCTCCAAGATGATCCCAAGAAGCCTTCCAGGGTTACCAGGAGGGCTCCAAAAAGGCCCCCAAAGCTCCAAGAGAGCACCAGCAACAGCAGCAGCAGCAGCAACCGCAAGAATCCCACCAGCCCTTTGGGCGACAGGTGGTCAAACAAGGGTATCTTTCCTCTTCCACAACCTCTCTTCCCTTCGGGGAGGGGAACCCTCCCCCTCCCCCTCCTTGATTTTTTGGGGGGAGGGGGTCGCGACGAGTTAGGGCGTCCTTTGTCGGCCCCTGGGAGGGGCAATTTGTGACACCCTCACGAGGACTGTCGCCCCCGAGGGTGGGCGGAGATAAAGGAACCCCCTCTTTTGATCGACCGCCTCCAAGGTGGCCCCAAGAGGGCCTCCAGGGTTCCCAAGAGGCTCCCAAGAGGGCCCAAAGAGCGCCCCAAGAAGCCTCCAAGAGGCCCCAAAAAATATGACCTCCAAGATGGCTCAGATAGCCCAAGCTGGCTCAATATGGCTCCCGAGATGCTCCAAACGGCCCCAAGACCGCTCCAAGACGGCTCGAGATGGCCACGGAGCCTCCCAAACCTCCCTCGCTGTCAGCTCTCATGGGCATCGTTTCTGGATGGGCTGACGGGGATACGTTTGGTCAACGGCCTCGTGAAGCGGGCCAAAAGGCGTCCAAACTCTAGCCGGGCCCTGATGATGGGAATCTGTTGTTTGGTCGGCGGCTCCCAGGCGACGGTCTAAGAGCGAAAGCGGCGTCCGGGTGGCGGAACGAAGCGAATTTGCGAGCAGAGCCGCAAAAATGATGGGACTACTTTTTTGATTGACGGCTCCAAGGACAGATCCACGAAGCGGGACGGTCTCGGCTGGGGCACAAGGCGGGAGAATTGGCTACGACGGCGCATATGCCGACGCAACAAGTGCACGTGCCAGGGACAAATCGCCCCCCATTAAGATACGGGCGACCTAGGAGCGGGGACGCAGGCACCAGACTGAAACAGACGGAGGAGAAGTCGCACAGTGGCGCCAGCTCGAACCGTACTGACTAGCGCGTACTAGCGTGGGTCACGCTGCGCTGTGGCAGCACGGGGGGCCCTTGAGGCCGCACCGTCCATCACGACGAGGAGGCGAGAGAGCGAGGAAAGGCGGCGGGCGCGAGGGCACGCGCGGGCAGAAGAAAGGGGAATACGCGTCAAGAATAGCGAAACGTCTTCCGTCGCGATCTGTCCATGACTCGAGAGGGCCTGGGGCGGAAGCGCGCAAAACTCCCTGACCTCGCCGCGCGTCAGACTAGCTAAACAACCAACGAATGATCGAGGTACCCCGGTGGGCGACCTGGCTCTGGGGTACGGGAGAGGAGGCGGAGCAGGAGGAGGAGGCGGAGGAGGAGGAGATGGAGGAGGAAGACAGGGAGGAGGAAAGGGAGGAAAGGGAGGAGGAGGACGAGGACGAGGAGAAGGATGATGATGATGATGATGAGGAGGAGGAGGAGGAGGAGGAGGAGGAGAAGAAGGAGGAGTTGATGGGGAAAGGGGGGATGAGGAAAGGGAGGAGGAGGAACGGGAGGAGGGAAGGGAGAGGAGGAGGAGGAGAAGGACGAGGAGGAGGAGGAGGAGGAGGAGGAGGAGCAGGAGGAGGGGGAGGAGGAGGAGGAGGAGGAGGAGGAGGAGGAGGAGGAGGAGGAGGAGAGGAGGAGGAGGAGGAGGAGGAGGAGGAGGAGGAGGAGGAGCAGCAGCAGGAGGAAGAGGAGGAAGAGGAGGAGGAGGAGGAGGAGGAGGAGGAGGAGGAGGAGGAGGAGCAGGAGGAGGAGGGGAAGGAGGAGGAGGAGGAGGACGAGGAGGAGGAGAAGGAGGAGGAGGAGAAGGAGTAGGAGGAGGGGAGGAGCAGCAGCAGGAGGAGGAGGAGCAGTAGGAGGAAGCAGGAGGAGGAGGGCGATCCCCCGACCCAGCACTGTTGGTGCGGGGACTTTCTGGCGGGCCAGCCCCCGCCTCAGCACTCGGGTGCCCGACGGGGCCCTCCTTCCTAGAGATCCGACGCTCCGACACAAATTGAGGCCCTCGCTGGGCCTCGGGGCCGTGCAAAAAAAACGACTCGGGGCAAAAAGCCAGCCCTGGGGAAGTGGAGTGGTCCAGACCCCCAGGGCCCAGGCATCGAACACAAAATTGGAGCGGCTGGAGGTCTCGAGGCGAGCAGCGTCGGCGCCCGGCGCGAGCGCGCAGAGCCACAAGGTTCCTCGCCGCCGCCGCCGCCGCGGCCGCCGTGACCGTCGCCGTCGCCGTCGCCGTCGCCGTCGCCGTCGTCGTCCTCGTCGTCGTCGGCGCCACGTTGCGCGCTATCCTTCCAACGCCAACCGCAGGGGGAGGAGCAGAGGGGGAAGGGCGGCGGGTACGGTCGCCGTCCTCGGCTGCGCCACGGCCCCTCCCGCGCCCCCTGCCGCGGCACCCTCCTCCTCCCCTCCTCCTCCTCCTCCTCCTCGTCCTCGTCCTCGTCCTCCTGCTCCTCCTCCTCCTCCTCCTCCTCCTCGTCCTCCTCCTCCTCCTCCCTCCTCCTCCTCCTCCTCGTCCTCGTCCTCGTCGCCCTCGTCCTCGCCCTCGTCCTTGTCCTCCTCCTCCTCCTCCTCCTCCTCCTCCTCCTCCTCCTCCTCCTCCTCCTCTCTCCTCCCTTCGCCCTTGACCGCACGCGCGGAGGGCGCCGGACCCGCCGCTCCTCCTCCTCCCCCATCCTCGGCGCCACATCGCACGCTATCCTTCCACCGCCAACCGCAGGGGAAGGAGCAGAGGGGGACGTGGCCAGCCTCGAACGGATCCCTAATCTGTTCTTTTGTTCGGTGCGTTGGCCCCGGAGGTCTGGGCCACTTCCCCAGGGCTGGCGTTCCGCCCCGAATCGCTGTTCGACGGCCCCGAGGCCTGGCGAGGGCCCCCGCAGGCCGAAAACGGTCGAATTTTTCCGGGGCGTCGGGCCCAGGCCGGCATGGTCGGGCGGCGGGTGCGGCCGCCGTCCTCGGCGGCGCCGCGGCCCCGCCCGCGCCCCCTGCCGCGGCCGCGGCCGCCGGAGCCCCTGCCTGTGCCGGCGGAAGGGGGGCCAGCAGGAGGAGGAGGAGGAGGAGGAGGAGGAGAACCCACACAAGAAAGACGCACGATAAGGACGCAAGGGCCTTGGAAGGCCATGCCGACACTTTGGAGGCGGGGCGCGGCCAGCGAAAGCGGCCAAGGATGGGCCGAAGGGGAAGGATGCAAGGGTAGCCTTGGAAAGATCGCGTGCAACAGCGATCTCCGAAAAGCGCGCTGTCCCTGTGAGGCGATCCCCCCGCGAGGGCCCCTCCTGTGCACGCTTTCCGCCTGCCAGGGCTTCCTCCAGGCGGTCGACCTCCTAATTCATCCATGCCCCTGCCCGCGCCAGAAATCCAACCTCCGGGGGCCACGTCTTTTCCATGTCCTGCCCCCCTGGCAGCCAGAGTGGGCACAGCGTCCGGGGTATGGATCGAACGCCGATCCCCGATCTTCGGTGCACGCTGTCCCCAAGGAGGGGGACAGCGTCTGACAAGCGGGCTGGCGGCGCCACGTCGCGCGCTATCTTTCCAACGCCAGCCGCAGTCATCACCCCCTCTTGGCCGCCTCCCCGAGTCCCCCGAGTGTCCGCCCCCGTCTCTCGGGGGGACCCCAGGGCAGTGGGGTTGGAGGTACCGCGTCTCGCCTCCGCCGCCGCCCCGGTCAGGCATCTATCTTTCAGGCCTGGCCCGATGGCTCTCGTGGCGCGCACCGCGGACCACACTGCACCTGTGGGAGCACGCCGAACTCCCTGACCTCCCCTCGCTTCTGACCCAGACCCCGCTGTCATGATTTGAATAAAAGTCGGCCCCAAGAGATCTCAACCCATTCCCCGAGACTGGCTTCTCATTCGGGGTCGGCCAAGAGGGGGGCGTCCTAGGGGGGGGGGGGCCGCAAATCATGGCCAGCGGCAAGTGCGCGGCCCAGCGGTGGGCCAAGGAATGCATTGGAATAAGAAGAGGGCCGCGAAATCTGGGGAGATATCATGGCCCCTGCCGTGATATCCCCCCCCCCCTAGTCATCCCCCCCCCCCCCCTTTGCCGCCCCCGACTCATCCCGAGTCGGTTCTCGATGGCCCCGAGGCCCCGTAAGGGCCCCCAGGGGCAGAAGGCAGCGAAGCATCTTCCGTCGTGATTGTTTTTCGAGACTCGAGGGTCGGCGGCGAGCGAGGGGGAAAATGAGAAGGAGAAAGCCTTCTCAGAGGAGGAGGAGTAGGAGGAGGAGGAGGAGGAGGAGGAGGAGGCCTTCTCAAAAGGCGGCGGGACTTCTCACAAGCCCTCGCGCATTCCGGAAAGTTGTCTGTGCCTTCGGGGAGAGCTTCAGAAGTCGTTGTCTGTTTGTTGGGGGGAGCGAGGGGGGAAACGAGAAGGAGAAGGCCTTCCCAGAAGGCGGCGGGACTTCTCACAAGCCCTCGCGCCTTCTGGGAAGTGTTCTGTGCCTTCGGGGAGAGCTTAGAACACTTCTCAGAAATTGTTGTCTGCTTGTTGGGGGGAGGGGCAGGAGAGGAGAGGGGAGCGGACAGAGCTAGTACACACCCTGTGGTCGACAAAAGCGGGAGCGGACAAATCCTGCTCCCCATTAGACGTGCGACGGAAACGCAAGGGGGCCACCTGTGACAATTATTGCCCGGGCGAGCGGTGGAGGAGGAGGAGGCGAAGCAGAGGGGGCAACGGAGGGAGGGCAAACAATGCAATGGAATCATCGCCCGACCGCCTGTCAGTCTGGACGCCCACATGGCTTGGCCGTGCGACCGCCGAAACCTCCATTACACAGTTTCGACTCCAACTGGGTGGAAGAGGGGACGAGGGGAGGGGGAAGAGGCAGAGGACGACGAGGAAGCGGAGGAACGGGGACAGCATACAGTATCCAGGGCCGCGCAGTGGCATACTAAGCAGGGCTAGGGCCTTGCAGGCACAGACTGTCAACTAACCCAGCGTCGCTGCACGAGCCAACCTGCAAAAGGCGAGCAAGTGCCACCGACCGAAAACTACAGAATACTGCACGCCGTGCTCGTGAAGCTAACTGCATAGTAACCCAGCCGTGAAAAGACGAACGGAGCTGCGCATGACAGATGGAGGTCTACTAATCAGAGCCTCAGGAGAAACACCCGCGACGCAACATGCTGAAGAAGCATCGTCACTAACTCATCGTGGCGATTACCCAGGCCACGACATCGCACACAGTGTCGACAACGAAACAAAATACCAAGGGGGAAGAGAAGACAAGGAGGGGGGAGGCAGCGAAGACAGAGAGGGCGATGACGACGACGATGACGACGACGATGACGATGACGAGGACCATGACGATGACGACGACGACGATGACGATGGTTTCCTCCTGATGCTCAAGTGCGGCGAAAGGGAGGGGCAGCGACGCAACAACTGACCTGACCCTCGCGGGCGCCGGCGGCGCGACCGAGCAAGCAGGCCCCCGAGCCAGCCTTCTGAGAACACTTCTCAGAATCGGGGGCGCGCGAACAGGGATCAGCGATCCATGGATTTGGCGCGCGGTCGCCAAATCCATGGATCGGGGGAGGTGCCCTCCCCAAAACTGCGGCCGGTGCCGCCTCATTCGGCGGCGGAAGTCTGCGATTTCCCATGGGAGCGGGGCCCGTCGCTAATCCACGCCCCCTTGACCCATGTCTGCGATCGCCTGGCAGAAGGCTGCGGGACCTCCGAGCCTTCTGAGAAGGCCCGCTCCTTCTCGCTTCACCCCCGCGCTCGCCGCCGAGAGGGGGAGGAAAAAAAGGAGGAGTACGAGGAGGAGGAGGAGTACGAGGAGGAGGAGGAGGAGGAGGAGGAGGAGCAGGAGGAGCAGGAGGAGAAAAAAGAGGAGGAGTACGAGGAGGAGGAGGAGGAGGAGGAGGAGGAAAAAGAGGAGGAGTACGAGGAGGAGGAGGAGGAGGAGGAGGAGTACGAGGGCGGGGTAGCCTTGGAAAGTTGCTCCTCCGTGCTGTGCGGGTTGACTGTGTCCCCAGCTGGCGCCCTGCGACCGCCCGTCGGGGCACGCCCTGCCGACCACCACCACCACGACGACGACGACGACGACCACGCCGACGACCACGACGACGACGACGACGACGACGACGACGACCACGAGGACGACGACGACGACGACGACGACGACGACGACGACGACAACGACGACGACGACGACGACGACGACGACGACCACGACCACGACCACGAGCGCCGCAGAGGACGAGGGCGGCGGGCCGCCCGGGGCCTGGCCCCTCCTTCGGCTTCGGGTCCTGGCCAGCCTTCTTCAGCTTGCCCTCCCGGCCCGACGCTGGCGCGGCCAGCAACAGGAGGGAGGGAGGGTATAGGGAAGGACCGTGCCTGGACATGTTTGTCGAACCCTGTGGCCCAAAATGCCCTCCGGACCCCCCGAAACTAATATTGAGGGCGTTGCGCAGGAGGGAGCGTGAGTGGACTTAATATTCGAACCCCCAAAGCACCAGCTTACTGAGATCAACATTGATTTCGGGGGCGGGGGGTGGCTGCTCAGAAACCCCCTCGAACGTGTAAGGGTTCGAATATTTTGTCCATCTACTAGGGAGGAGTCGCGTGTCAGCATGGGGGCCTGAACAGGCCCCGCTGGAACCGAGAAGAGAAAAGGGGGCCACCCTGCAGGTTCGGCTAAGCAACACATGGTTGAGCGGTGATGCAGCCTCCCCTGAGCACAGGCCCCCCTCCCGGAGCATCAGCCGGATAAGTCGGGTTTTCGCAATGGGGAGAGAAAAGAGGAGAACGAGGAAAGAGAGATGAGTAGATGTGGCAGGAGGAGGAAGAGGAGGAGGCGGTGGAGGAGGAGGAGGAGGAGGAGGAGGAGGAGGACGTGAGATAATATGGCTTTCGAGCGCCTTTGCCCCGTTAGTGGGTCCAGTTTCCTGGAGTTGCCATCCTGTATGGCACGGTGGCCCGATGTAGCAGATGGCCTGGGGCCATCTGGGTCCAGGCAGCAAGGGCTGGGCCAATGAATCAAGAGAGCCTGGGCGCAGTGGCCCAGGCACTGCGGCTCCAGCGTGGAAATGCATCTTGGCACCTTCTAAGAGGAGGATGGGGATGAGGATTAGGATGAGGAGGAGGATGAGGATGCGGATGAGGAGGAGGAAGAGGAGGAGGAGGAGGAAAAGGAGGAAAAGGAGGGTGAGGAGGAGGAGGAGGAGAACGAGGAGGAGCAGCAGGTGGAGGTGGAGGTGGAGGTGGAGAAGGAAGACAAGGAGTGGAAGAAGGGGGGAAGAGGAGGGGTGATGGGTCCGCGTCTGCTCTGCCAGCTCGACCATCCGTTCGCATCCCGCGAGTCGTGAGAGGCCACTCTGGGCGTCTGCGCCGCTGCTCCAGATCTTCCGCCGAGCTCTTTTGCTCTAAATTCCTTTGCTTCCGCCTCCTCGTTTCGTTTGCCTCCCCCATCTTCCTCGCCTTCTCCCTTCCGCCTCATTATCCTTCCCGCCGTTCTACTCCGCTTCGCGGTAGGCGATCCACGATGTATCCACGGCGCATACGTGGTTGTCCTTTTGCGGCGTCGGTGTCATGGACCCCGCTGCGATGTCGCAATCAAAACTCTATATCTTTCTTTCTCTCTCTCTCTCTCTCCTTGTTTCTCTCTCTCTCACGCTCTCTTTCTCTGTCTCTCTCTCTCTCTCTCTCCCTTTCGCTATATAGGTACATATGCACATACGTACGTACATACATACACACATACATATATGCACAAACATATGCATACGTGGATCCATACCTACCTACCTACCTACATACCTACCTACCTACCTACCTACCTACCTACCTACCTACCTACATATATATATATATATATATATTATATATATATATATATATTCATACGCACATGCATACATACATGCACACATGCATACACACATACCTATACACACATACATGCATGCATACATACATATATACATACATACATACACATATACAAACATACATATATGCATGTATGCATACATACACACGTACATACATATACATCAATCCACACATACATACATACATACATGCATACATGCATATATACATACATACAGACATGCATGCATACATACATACATAATACATGATACAAACATACATACATACGTACGTACATACATACACACATACATACATACATACATACATACATACATATATATACATACAAACATACATACATACATACATGAACACATACACACATACACGCATGCACGCATACAAACAGCCAAACCTACATAGTCACATATACGCAGATATACATGCATACATACATACATGCACACATACATTTACACATGCATACGTACATCCATACATTAATACATACACACATTCATACAAATATACGCATGCATGTATACACATGCATGCATACATGTATACACACATGCATACGTGCGTTCACACATACATACACCTATAGTGAACGATCCGTGCGTACGTACATACATACCTACACACATACACATACATACAAACACACATACAATACACACATACACGTAACATGCAAATCCATCCTGCCATCCATCCATCCATCCATCCATACATACATACATACACCTATACACATATACATGCATGCATGCATGCATGCATGCATGCATACATACATACATACATACGTACATACATACGCACAGATAGACGGCTGATACTACAAGCCGTATCCTAACGCTTGCGCCATAAGTCGCGCCCTCTGCGGCCGAGAATAACAAACAAAACGTCTCCGAACGGTTGCGCCATAAGCCATAGGTTGCGCCATCTGCGGCCGAGAATAAAACCGTCGCGCAACGAGTGCGACCAGTCAGTTCAGTTGAGTCCAGTCCTGTCCAGTCCAGTCCAGTCGAGCTCAGTTGGAGCTTACCTCGCGGACAAAAAAAAATCGGGCTACGCCCGAAAATAACACATTTGCCTCGCGATGGACCCAGTCATCTGCAGCTGTGAGTGCCGCGAGGGGATGTGACGAAGGAGAGGGGCGCGCAAAGCGAATGTAGCTCTCATGGGCAAGGCGCCGCATGAGGAACGCGGTGCGGAGCAGCGCGGGCAGGCGTGTAGGAAAGTGGTGGGTGGGTGGGTGGGGGGGAGCGGTGCGGCATGTTGGAATCTCACATGTTTTCCCCTCTGTGTAAGCGGGCCCTGGTGACTACGGCTCTGGGCAGAGTGCAACGCCGAGCCCTTGCGGTGCCCAGGCGACGCAGGCGGCGCACGGGTCGTCCGTTGCGCGGAGCAGAGAGGCTGGCCGATAGCGGGGAGGCGCATGCGAACGCAGCCATTGGGGCCTTCGGTGGGGCTCTCCATGGCGGCCACGAAACGCGTGAATGGTGTGCCGAAATGGGCATCTGGTGGGCAAGGATGCGCATGTGGATGAATTGTACCACTGGGGCCTTCGGTGGGGCTGCCTGTGGGGCCACGGGACGTGCGAGGGGTGTGCCGAAAATAAGCTTGCGGTGGGCGGGGAGGCGCATGTGGACCGTGTCACAAGGGCCTCCGGTGGGGCTTCTTATGGGGCCACGAAATAGAGGCATGAAAGATTTGAAATCGGCATGCTGTGGGTTGGGAGGCGCAGGCGGACTGTACCACTGGAGCCTTCCGTGATGCTCCCTGTGGGGCCACGAGACGTGCGAGGGGTGTTCCTGAAATTGAGCATGCGGTGGGCGGGGAGGCGCATGTGGACTCTGCCGTTGGGACCTTCGGTGGGGCTCTCTATGTGGCTAGGAAACGTGTGAGGGGTGTGCCGACATTCGCGTGCGGTGGGCGGGGAGGCGCATGAGGACTCTGGCGCTGGGGGCTTCGGTGTGGCTCCCTATAAGCGACGAAACGTGCGAAGGATGTGCCGAAATGGGCGTGTGGTTGGCGGCGGGGGACAGGGGGGGCGGGGAGCGCGAGGACTGTGGCATTGGGGACCTCGGTGGGGCTCCCGATGGGCATGCGGTGGTCGGGAGGCGCGCGTGGATTGTGGCACTGGGGCAATCGGTGGGACTCCCGATGGGGCCACGAAGCGTGCGAAGGGGAGAGGCACGTGGACTGGCACTGGGGCCTCGGGTGGGACTCCCTTTGGGGCCACGAAACGTGTGAGCGGCGTGCCGAAAATTGGCATGCGGTTGTGGACTGGCACTGGAACAATCGGTGGGGCTCCCGATGGGGCCACGAAACGTGTGAAGGGCGTGCTGAGATGGGCATGCGGTGGGAAGGGAGGCGCAGATGGGCTGTGCCATGGGGGCCTTCGGTGGGGCTCTCGGTGTGGCCACTGAGCGTTGTGCCGACATGGGCGTGCGGTGGGCGTGGGTTGTGCCACTGGGGCCTTCGGTGGGGCTCCCTGTGGTGCGACGAAACGCGTGAGAGGGTTGCCGAAATGGGCATACGGTGGGTGGGGTGGCGCGCGTGGATTGTGCCATTGGGGCCCTCGGTGGGGCTCCCGATGAGGCCACGCAGCGCGTGAGGGTGGACCGTGGCACTGGGGCGTTCGATGGGCTTCCTATGGGGCCATTAAACCTGTGAGGGGTGTACCGAAAATGGGCATGCGGTGGGCGGGGAGGCGCATGTGGGCTGTGCCAGTGCCGAAATGGGCATGCTGTGGGCGTGGGGGTGGGGGCGCATGTGGACCGTGCCACCGGGGACTTCGATGGGACTCCCGATGTGGCCACGAACGAAGGGTGCACCGAAGTGGGTGACACGCGGAGGGCCGAATATAAAGAAAGGCGCGGAGGGAGGAGGGGGGAAGGAGGACAAGGAGGAGGGGGGAAGGAGGAGGAGGAGGAGGAGGAGGAGGAGGAGGAGGAGGAGGAGGAGGAGGAGGGAAGAGAGGACGAGGAGAGGAGGAACTTGGTGAACCGTCTCTTCAAAATGGGGAATCAACACCACAAGCGTGTTGGGAACAATGCGTACACGCCGCTGCGTTCGCCCTGGGCTCATCAGAGGCTCCTTCGAAGGCCCCCCGTGGCCGCATGGGGAAGCTTTCGTGGCCGCCGTGAGGTCTACTTGAGTTTCTGTCGGTCCTTCCCAGGCCGTCTTGGGAACACTTGCAGATCCACGATCTTACCCCGTTTTGAAAGTGCCACCCTGTTGGCCCGCTATACAAGCATCAAGCATCAGCCCGGGTGTCGAGGCCCTCGAAGGAACGAGGCGTTGGGGGACGATGAGCCGCGTGCGCGGGTCGGCGCTTTTGGTTCCTGGGGGGAGAAGGGCGGGGGGGAGCTCGGGCGGGTTCGCGAGAGGGGTGATTACGACAACGAGAAGTGTCACGATAGCAACGCGCCCAGGGACAGGACAGTGGAGATCCGCCTCCGCTTTTGCGATCTGGCACCAGGTGCTCAAAGAAGACCTCTTTTCGGGTACCTTAGATAGGATCCGAAACGCTAAATAAGCACCCCAGGCTTGTTTAATACCGGGAGTGTCATTTAGCAGCCGAGGTGCCAAAATGAGGCCCACGTGCTCGTGCAAGAAGCAGAACCTGAACTAAGCACTCTGGCATAGTAGCGGTATGGCTACACTCACTCACTAACTCCGTGGCGCGCAAAGTTCCTCAGTGCCTCTGATGCTACAGCGAAGCGCGCGGAGACGCCATGCACCGTGCCGCGGCCGCTCCACTCCCGGTGCCGGGAATGAACACACGGCATGGGCACCTCCTCCTCCCCTGAACCTTGGCACCTCGGGAGCATCCTCGGGAGCCCCCCGGAGCCCCCCGAAGCCCTCGGCGGGGCGCGCCTCCGACCGCGAGCCCCCCCCTCGGCCCCCTCCGCGTGGGCCGGCGTGCCGGCGCTGGGAGAGGCCCGCCGCGCAGCCTTGCGCGCGGGCGTCTGCGCGGGGCTCGTCTCCTGGGCGGGCAGGCTCGCCGCGGGGGACACGGGGGAGGGGGAGGAGGGGGAGGGGGGGGGGAGGGGAGAAGGAACAGGACACCTAGGTAGGAGGAAAAGGAAAAGGAGGAGGAGGAGGAGGAGGAGGGAAAGGAGGAGGAGGGAAAGGAGGTGGTACGAGGAGGAGGAGGCGGAGGAGGAGGAGGAGGAGGAGGAGAAGGAGGAGGAGGAGGAGGGGTGTGAAACCTGCTGCCTCGCGTTCACTTGCCTGCATGCAGACTTTTCATCGCATCGTCTGGCTCGGCATGCGGCCATTGCGCTGCAAGCCCTGGCCTGCAGCAGACAATGCCGCCCCCCCCCCGCCGCGCACCGCGCGGGGGGGAAATCACGGCTGCTGTGGCGGTGGTCCCAGGCTCCAGTCGCGACGCTAGGCGGGCGAAAACTTACTTGGAGCACCCGTTACACTGGCCAATCGCCACCGATTCTCCATTCGGGGGCACCGCGTTTCGCCTTGGTCTCCCCCCACGACCTCCGAGCAAAAGTCCCCGCTCCCCTGATTTGGCCACAGACTGCGTCGCCGCGGCCCTGAGACTCTTGGATCGAATGGTGCGCAACGTACGTGTGTGTGTGTGTGTGTGTCTGTGTGTGTGTGTCTGTGTCTGTGTCTGTGTCTGTGTCTGTGTCTGTGTCTGTGACTGTGTCTGTGCGTGTGCGTGTGCGTGTGCGTGTGCGTGTGCGTGTGGGTGTGTGTGTGTGTGTGTGTGTGTGTGCGTGCGTGCGTGCGTGCGTGCGTGCGTGCGTGCGTGCGTGCGTGTGCGTGCGTGCGTGCGTGCGTGCCGTGCGTGCGTGCGCGTGCGTGCGTGCGTGCGTGCGTGCGTGCGTGCGTGCGTGCGTGCGTGCGTGCGTGCGTGTGTGTGTGTGTGTGTGCGTGCGTGCGTGCGTGCGTGCGTGCGTGCGTGCGTGCGTGCGTGCGTGCGTGTGTGTGTGTGTGTGTGTGCGTGCGTGCGTGCGTGCGTGCGTGCGTGCGTGCGTGCGTGCGTGCGTGCGTGCGTGCGTGCGTGCGTGCGTGCGTGCGTGCGTGTATGTTTTTGTGTGTTTTTGTGTGTGTGTGTGTTTGTGTGTGTTTGCGGTGCAGCACCGTTGGTATTGGTTTTGTCTAGCCCACCTCGCCTCCTTCCTCCTTCTCCTCCTCGCCCTTCTCCTCCTCCAACCTCCTCCCCCCATGCCGAAGGCTGCCGCAAACCCTGGGGTGAATGTTGGTCAGGACGCATGGGGTGCTAGTAAGGGCGTGCGCCGCATGGCGCACGCACGACGACGAGCACCTGTCCAACGCCCCAGGGGCTAAGTTGCTGGGGCGACACCAGCATACGACGTCCCTGATACTTCGGTCTCAACGGCGGTCGGACGCGCGCCACTGTCGCGAAGCAGTCGCCTCAAGGACGCACCCGGCGGCAAGGCCGGTAGTCCTACACACTCGTTCGTCTCCGCCCATCCCCCCCCTCCCCCTCCATCTTCCGCCACTCCCTGGCGGCAACACACGGTCACGTGCCTCCTCAGATACTGCATGCTGGCCCCCGTCGCGAGGCAGTTGCCTCAAGAACGCACCTGGCGGCAAGGCCGGTACTCCTGGCGGCAAGGTCAAGTTACGTGAATCTTTAGATTCAGCACTTTCATCAGTCGCGAGGCAGTTGCCTCAAAGACGCACCCGGCGGCAAGGCCGGTAGTCCTGCACACCCATACGTGTCGTCCCCTTCATTCCCCCTCCTCCCCCCGTCTTCCGCCACTCCCTGGCGGCAAGACCAGGCTTTGTGCATCCTCAGATTCTGCACGCTGGTCCCTGTCGCGAGGCAGTTGCCTCAAGGACGCACCCGGCAGCAATGCCGGTAGTCCTGCGCACTCTTGCGTGTCCCCCTCACCCCCCCCCCCTCCCCCTCCATCATCCGCCACTCCCTTGCGGCAAGACCGGGTTTCGTGCATCCTCAGATCCTGCACGCCAACCCCTGTCGCGAGGCAAGTGTCTCAAGGACGCACCCGGCGACAAGGCCGGTAGTCCTGCACATTTTCGCGCGTTTCCTCATCCCCATCCCCCCCCTCCCTGTTTCGCCGCCCCCTGGCGGCAAGGCCGGTATGCGTGCATCTTGAGATTCTGCACCTTGCCCCAGTCACGAGGCAGTTGCCTCAAGGGCGCACCTGGCGGCAAGGCCGGTAGTCCTGTTCGCCCCAGTCGCGAGGCAGTCGCCTCAAGGACGCACCCGGCGGCAAGGCCGGTAGTCCTGTTCGCCCCCGTCACGAGGCTGCTGCCTCAAGGACGCTCTCGGCGGCAAGGCCGGTAGTCCTGCACACTCTTACATGTACCCCCTATCCCACTCCTCCTCCTCCACCATCCGACGCTCCCTAGGCAAGGCCGGGTGCGTGCATCGTCAGATTCAGCTCGCGCGCCACTGTCGCGAGGCAGTCGCCTCAAGGACGCACCCGGCGGCAAGGCCGGTAGTCCTGCACACTCTTTCGTCTCCGCCCATCCCCCCCCACTCCCCCTCCATCTTCCGCCACCCCCTGGCGGCAAGGGCAAGTTTCGCGCATCCTCAGATGCTGCACGCTGGCCCCCGTCGCGAGGCACTTGCATCAAGGACGCGCCCTTCGGCAAGGCCGGTAATCCTGCACACTCTTTCGTGTCCCCCTCCCCCCCCCCTCTTCATTCCGCCGCTCCCTGGCGGCAAGACCGGGGCTGGTGCATCCTCAGATGCTGCACGATTGCACCCTTCACGAGGCAATTGCCTCGAGGACGGACCCGGTGACAAGGCCGGTAGTCCTGCACACTCATACGCCTCACCTCATCTCCCTTTACCCTCATCCTCCTCCTCCTTCTCCTCTTCTTCCTCCTCCCTCTCCTCCTCCTTCTCCTCCTCCTCCTCCTCCTTCTTCTTCTCCTCCTCCTCGCACGTAGCTCGGAATGAGTTCGTAGTCGCTTGGCTCGCTCGATCGTCCAGTTGCTGTAACAGGTGCGCTCTGGCAGCACGGGCCTGCTGTGCTATCAACATTGGGTCAACATTGGCCTGGCTCCAAGTTGAATGGTATAAATAGAAACTCGAAGCCAGGCGTTGCACAGCAAGCAGACGTTGCTCACCACTCATATCTTTGGCGGTCCCCAGTCTGCGATCAAGAAGAACCTCAAACGGAACCGACGGGACCCACACGGATTGCACAGCACCCCACAGCAACGGACAAGACAAATAATGCTTCTGCGTCTCGCACTCACTGGGGCAACCGACTTTGCAGGGGATGTTGACCTGCCGAACCCTCCGCTCCGTCGTCCACCCGCCCACCACCGTCTTAATAGCCGAGGCCTGCCATGAGGGCGGAAGAGCACTGATGCACTCCTTGAGCAGCTTCCAGCTGCAGGCTGCCTTGGCCTGACTAGAGAGAGGAGCTGCCGTCCACTTCTCCCCGCGCTTAAAAATGGTGCCTCCTAGATTCTCTTGGAAAAGTTCAACCTCCAGCCGCCTCGAGATCGTCCTCTGAACAAGGACCACAGGACCCCCAGCCGCCACCTGAAGCATCTGCGCCTCCCTGAGAGCATCCAAGGCGTGAGCAACGGGGCGGGCGAGGCGACGAGAAGAGGAAAATCCATTATCGGCGTCAGCAAGCCCCTGGACAAACGAAGGCTCAATCCAGTGCTCAGGCTCCCACTTGTCTTGTATCCGCAATTTCATTGGCAAAAACTCTTCAGCCGCGTGCTGCTGATTCTTCCATAAGCTGCGCCAATTCGCGATCGTCTGTCTGGAGGCGCGCAGGAGAGCGGAGAGCGACTGCACGAGCATAGACTGCGGCCGAATCTTCGACCACTGTCTCAAGGCCAGCAATTGAGAGAGGGGAAAGGTAAAGGCAGGGAGGTGGAGGATCTTATGGATAGCCCACGACTCCCATCTCAAGATGGGCTGAGGCATGCGGGAGAGCTGGGACAGGTAGCTGTACTTCGATACTGCCCTAGAGTTGTACAGAGTGACGGCTATCGAGGGGGCGGCCTTTGTCGCAGCAAGATCTTTAACAACCGCAACCCACTCTCGGAACGCACGACGCCGCACTAACTCTCTCGACGCTGCTGGGCCGATCCACACCCCAAGATATTCCGCCGCAGGGGCAATTGGCATTGCTGCCCACTTCGGAACAAGTTGCTTCAACCCCCTCTGGACCTGCTCGACAAGATGGGGGGAGAAAGGGGCGGGGACTGGGGCGACCTGGCGCTTCGGGAGTTTAAGCCATAAGCCAGCGAGAAGACGAGCCGCATAGAAGGTGCCAGAAAGGCGTGACAGCGCTGCAAGCTCCCTTACCGCCACCCCCACATCATCCGCGCACGCCCCCACCTCCGACCCCTTCTCTCATGCCCCGAATTAGTGGGTCCATCGCGAGAGCCCTCAGGCTGCCACTGGACGGGTCACCCTGCATTACTCCTGAGTCGATCAGGCAGAACGGAAGCAACAACCCCTGCAGCGCTACTCGGGCCGTAGCAAATGCATAGGTAGCATGCAGGAAGAGACGAACACCTTCAGGAAGACCCACCAGTTCCAGGACTCCCCAAAGAAACATGTGGATAAGAGAAGGAAAGGCGTTGCCGAAGTCGAGGAGGAGGAGAAGAGGCAGATTAACAGCCGCCGATGGGAGCATGCTGGCAATCCTAGCAGTGGACTCTAGTAGGGTGATGTTGTCAAGAAAGTTCATACCTGCCACAAATCCACGCTGGTCGCTATGCAGCTCCTTCGACAGGGTCGGCTTGAGACACTGGTTGCATGCTGCAGACAAAATCTTTACATCCGTGTTTTTGAGGGCAAGAGGCCTGGTGGTGGCAGGCTCGCGAACGACGAAGCTCGCATCTTCCGCCGTTCTACCCTTGGGAGCAAATACCAGCAAGAGACCATTTAATTCAAAGGGGGGAGGGGGTCCAGAGAAGAGTTCCAGGAGCAGCCCATGGAGCACAGGCGCGGTAATCTTCGCACCTTTCCACGCCGAGTACGGAAGCCCATCGG